TTAGCTTAAAATCATTACCCCTTGTCCCATCACAACAGGCCCTGCTAAAAAGTCTCTCCCCATCTTTCTTATAAGCCCCTTTAAAGTACTGAGAAAGGTGCCTGCAGAGTGGGCTGGCGGGGGGGATGGCAAAACCGGGGGTGCATGCTCCTGGCCACGAGACTTATGTTGCGACACCTTAGCCGGCCCTTGGCTGTCATGAGGACATGGCCAAATGGGACATGGTGCATTGGGGCTGTCAGCTGTCCTGCGTGAGGCTCTCTGTAGGCTCTGCGCGCAGCTCGGGGACCTGGAGGCCTCTGGTCCCTCGCGGCCAAGGTTGGCTCCTCTCTGGCATTTGCACGAGCCCACGGTTTCCAATCAGTCCCCTCAAACGCCAGCTGCGTTGTCTCTCACCTCAGGATCACCTTGCTCGCTTGGGTTGGACCCACCAGAGAGCTGGCACAGAGCGCAACAGCCCGCGTGCCGGGCCCTGTCTCACCGTGCACACGGACACAAGGGCTCCTCTTCCCCTTCGAACGCTTCCACTGGTTGGGTAGTGGCGGTCAGCCGGACTGCTGGTTTCCCCAGCTGCTGGATTTTAAAGGCTGCGTGCGAACTGGCAGGACAGCATTCGCCATCAGACTTGCTTGCTGTGATTTTTCTGTGTGCAGTGATGCTCCACAGGGTGCAGATCTCTGAAGGATGTATACATCCCAAAAGGCTTTTTTGCTGGAATTTATTGATGCTCCACAGGGTGCAGATCTCTGAAGGACGTAGATCCCAAAAGGCTTTTTTGCTAGCTCCCTATAGAATCCTATAACCTACTATTGCATGTGTTCTTCAAAAAATCAGACAATTTCTAAGTAGCTATGCTAACAAATCACATCAAGGTGGCACCATTTGAAGTCACTAGTGAAGCCATTAACATCAATTGAAGTGCTAGTGCACGAGCAATAACAGGGTGACTCATTAGTTTCTGTCTTTTAAGCCTCTCCCAGTAAGCCTGCATATTAGATAAGACCAAAAAAAAAAAAAAAAAAGAAAAAGGGCAGAAAATAAACTGGGCCTCACAGGGCCTCTCCACAAAGGGCAGAGACTTTTTAGCAGGGCCTATAGCCATAGGACAAGCGGCAACAGCTTTAAACGAAAAGAGGGCAGATTTAGACTAGATCTAAGAAGAAATTTTTCACACTGAGGGTGGTGAAACCCTGGCCCAGGTTGCCCAGAGAGGTGGTAGATGCCCCACCCCTGGAAACATCCCAGGTCAGGCTGGACGGGGCTTTGAGCAACCTGGTCTAGTTGAAGATGTCCCTGCTCACTGCAGGGGGGGTGGACTAGATGACCTTTAAAGGTCCCTTCCAACCCAAAAGTTCTATGATTCTATGATTCTATCATTGTAGAGAGAAGTTGGAGCTGTGGAAGGGAGTATACAGCTTACTTGTAACAGTGGATTTCCTGGCTGAAACTCCATATTGGAGATCAGTCTTGCACACTTTGTAACAGCAGCTGTACTTGATATTCTTCACTGAAATAGTCTTGGAAGATTTCGATCCTTCAGCACTGTTGCAGAGCCTGTGTACAAATTTTACATAGATGCACAGGGAAAATCTTTACGGACGTAGCTTCTACTAATTTCAGGTGACTGATGTAACTGGTGGAGAATTACAGCAACAAAACCTGATGACCAGTGGTGTCAGTTTTACCTTTCCATTCATCAGTCAACATTGACAAGATTGAAATATTTCATGGCTTTAGGACACTTCCAAAAATGAGAAACCTGATGCTTGACAGTGCTAGGTAAAAACATTCAGAACCCTGTGGATGCACAATCCAGTTCTGACTCATGTAACCAACACATTTGACTGCATCTGCATATTTTCCACAATGTCACTATTTCTTTTAGTACATGCTACCTGAGGTGTCTTTGCGGGGGAACAGTGTTGGCTTCACTTGAGAAATCTTCAGTTGAAGGAGAGGTACATGGTACTGTCTTCTAAACGGCCAATTTTTTTGAGTCATTTAAAGCAAAAGAAAGAAGTCACTTACCCAGACAAGGATAAAGGTGGGAGAAGGTAAGTTGGATATGGAGGCAGGAGTTGGACCGAAGCAGCCCAGGAGTGCAGTGTCCAGCTACCAAGCTGCATTTTTGTCAAACCAGAGAGAGACCCCAAACTCCAAATTTAACATTGCTTTCCTGATAGCAACTATCTGTGAAACCTGATGGTAAAATGTGCAGTCCATCTGCACCGACAGCAGAGCCAGAGACCAGGACAAGGACAACCTGCTGCTAGGAGAAGCCCCTCTGGGGGAGAGCCCGTGGCAGAGATCTAGGCAATAGATACAAGAAACCTTTAGTATTAGCTTGCCATGTCTGTGTTCATCCGGTTCAAAATGCATCAGCTGTAGTCTACATTCTGTGCTGTAACACCAGCAAAGGGAAATATTGAAGCTGGATGGAGGATTTGACATGACATTCTTTAAACCCTTGCTCGCTTTGTATAGTGTAGCTATAATAATGGACTTTTAATGCTAATATAGTTAGTATAGTTTTTATAACAACTTAAGGAAGGGTCTTTTTTCCATGCAAGGTGCTGAATAGTCCCTTTTTCTTTAAGTCACTGCAATTCAGGATACCATACCCTTGCAGGAGTGGGCCCTATTTTCCAAGTACAGGCAGCATTCGAGGAAGGCCAATTTCAGTTTGATTTCTCCTGGATTAACATTATGCACACTGAAAAGAGAAGCTAATATAAGAAGCAATTGAAATGAGTTAAGAGAATTGGAATTTTCTTTGCTACTGTATTGCTTCTGTTTTACACCTTGGCCATTTCATTTGTGAATGATTAATTAAGGTCCTAGTGATTTGATTAGGCAAATGTGCTGACTCAAAACATAATAGGAAAGCAGGAAGAAATGAAAGGGAAAAGACATAGTAAATATGCAATGCATTTTGCAATAAGCTTTGTTTGGCTAGATCAAGGTAATACACTTTTATTAGCTTGCACTCAATGCATATGCCTGGAACGATGACTGCAAAATAAACCCTGGAAATGTCTGTATTCACACTAATACAGATGCTCAGAACAACATAGAAACAGGAGTCATTATGCCTCCAAACATATTTTGTACACCTGAAGTAAGCAAAGTGAAATCTGTTAACAGAGGATAGATTTCTAAAGAAGTTAGACCCTACAATAGGAAGTATGGCTTAGGTCTTCGGGCTGTGAGCAAGAGAAAAATGTTGAGCTCCTCATCACTGAGAGATCCCCCAAATCCTACCTGGGCATCCGTGTCCATGTGTTTCTTGTACCCTCACTGACTCACTTGATCACCACCTGGAAAGAGTCCATCTCCTCTCATCTCTAGTGATAGGGAACATGCCTCCAGAGCATATTTGCCGTGATTTTGATCCCCACCTGGCCCTGTGTAACTGGAACTTGGAGTTTACGAGTGGCACAGGGCACATTTTGCAGGCAGTAGCAATTTAAGGGCAGCCTTATAGGCCACACAGGTGAGAAGATCTAGGCTTGCTGGCTTCACTTCTCTTTGACTGGTAGGCTGGCAATACTGCAAAGGAAAGCGGGGAGGAAATCAATAATTATGCCAGCTTTTCTGGAGATTGAATTAGAAAGAATTAGAAACTGTTGACTGTCCTTACTCCTTGTGAGTAATCTTGACTGCTCAGATGTTTCTTGGAAGGACATCTCTAATCATTAACTTCTAACCATGGGTCATGGGAGGTACGTTTGGTAATCGGCTCCCATGGAAAAAACCTAAGTAATCATAAATTATAACACAGGAACTGCGACCTTGCTAAACTTGGGAAATTCCTGAAGGACTGCTTTATTTTAAAACAAAATTTGCATGCAGGTTCTCAAGTTGACTTGAAGACATTGAAGGACCTCAGCTGAATATTGTAGGAGGTTTTCAACAGGAATAGTGAAGCCACAGGATGTTTGAGGAAACTAATGTAAAAATTAGTAAATCAATTCGTGGCCATTGAAAGGAAAATTGAAAATATTAAGCATTCTAAAATGCTTTGATTCAAACCTGAGCTATTTATTTTATTCTGATGCTTTCACATTTCTTAAGGTTGCATTAAATAAAAGTGGTCCTTTCAGTTTGAAAAACATGAATAATGATTTCTACAGATTCAAAATTAAAAAAAAATACATTTTGAAACAGGTGATTAATTGAGAACTGCCTCTTTCTTGCAAGCAACTTTTATTTTGATGAATCCACATATTCTGTGGAAAGACTTAAAAATCTTTAACCACTTCTAGTCATGAAATATGCAGGATTCAAGCCAATGTTAAGTGTCTATTTTAAATTTGTGATTTTTGCTGTCTGTACTCTTCTTACAAAGATATATGACAGCTTAAAAAATGATTGTGTCTCTAAATGCCTCTGTTTTTAAGATGCCTCAGGCTGAAATTCTAAAACGTTAAAAAAACTAGTTCCTTAACATCACAAAATTCAAACATTTGGAATCAATTTGCACTTTTGAAAAGTCAAGCTGTTGTATATCTGGTAAAACTAAAGCAAAAATATTTCATTCACCTAAAATAAGGGGGTTTTTGTAGTCATAAAAAGTATTTTAAGATGTAGTTTTTTCCTTACAGCTTCCGATATAGTATAAATTATAGAATAATCATATTAAGCATGTTTTAAAGCAAGATAAAATGTTCGTTCTTGTAATTTTCCACAATTAATACATTTTTACTATCACATCATTACTTTATCTTGAGAGCTAATAAATGACAAATGACATGCATTTTTCATGACTCTGCCTTTCAGTTATTTATCCAATTACCTCTAATATTTCAGTTGCCTTTATCAACTACCTGGAAAAAACAATATCTGATAGGACTCCACGGTGTATAGCAAAGTGTATAAATAGGAAGTTTGTATCACTTGGTCTCAATTTGTCACTTCAAACCATCTGACTTAAGTGACTCTTAAATCCTCTTGTCATTTCACTGTTATCTGATTTGCAGGAATCCAAGACTTAGGCAAACATGTCCAACCCCAGTGAGGCAGAACTCATTCACATGTTTAAAGGGGTTCTCTTTACCACCAGGTCTTCTCCAGAACTTCTACAGTCCTTGCATACTTTTGACGCTAGAGAAGATGATGTCCTTTTGGTTTCCTACCCCAAATCTGGTAAGTTCTACTTTTAGATGGTACTTACAAGAAGTCTCAATTGTTTGTTTCATGTTTTCTGCTTAAACTATTTGGGAAATGTCTGTGTACAAGAAACAGGGAAGAATGCTTTATTATGTGAATATATTATTCTGTCAGTAAGTGTTCAAATTATAACAAAATATGGGTCATTTATCTAAATTTTCATTCTTTAATTGAAAATAATCCCAAGTGTTTTCTTATTGGAGAGCAAATAAATATTTATTTCTTGTAAGCAAAATCTGTACTTGAAGGATTTTCCTGAGGTTTTCTACATTCAGTTATGAGCAAGTCAAGAGTTATATTAAGTTATTCGTATGGCTTTTGGCTGTAGATTTATTAATTTCTTCTTCCTTCTCTCCCCGCCTCGCTCACACACAGAAGCACAAACCAAAGCAGCAGCTCAGTCAGTACTAACCAAATATACAGACTTAAGTTACTATGAGGAAAAAACAAACAGGTTATTTTAAAATTAATGATAAAAATAATACAATCACCTCTCAGCCGACAAGCAGTTTGTCTCATGAGATTGTTTTGGTACCAATATTAGCACTTCTCACAGAATTACTTTGTACTTCATCCACAGCCCTAATTTTTCCGGTATTTATACATCTGTAGCCAACGGTATTATTCAATTATGTAAAGTTTCTTGAATATGGGGGATAGGAAATATCACTTCTGCACTAGCAAGCTGTTTCAATATGCAAAATGCATGTTCCACATATCTTCTCAATAACAAATCTTCCTTTCTTTCTCTCTCTCTTTTTTTTTTTCCTTAAAATTACTTTCCTGCAGGCACTCACTGGCTTGCAGGAGTTATAACAAAGCTTTACAATACTCAAGTTACACTAACATCTCCCATTGAATTTGGAGACATATCCAAACTGGAGGAACTGGATAAAGTCGCATCAAAGAGAATCATCCCAACGCACTTAGACTACAACATGTTACCTCCAAATTTTAAGAATAAAAAATGCAAGGTAAGGCAAAAAGATATAAAAGCAGGAAGATATGTTAAGTGTCCATTAGGAATCTATTTTGTCTTGTTGATCTTTAATAATTTAAGATTATTAACAGTTTCCAGAAGTGGTTTTCTGTGAATTTTGGAGAGACGGTTGACCACCAGTCAAAGGCACTGTGAGCAGAGACTTGGGTTAGGGATTGAGTTCTGCTCCTGCCCCACTACTCCCATGGGTTGATTATGTAGACCATGCACCACAGAAAATACAACATCAACACCTTTCTATCAGAAATATTTTATTAGGGATGGGGGGGGTGGAGGGGGTGTCTCATGGCCCCACTTCCTAGGGGCTGGAGCACTGGCTTAGAAAATAATTATCTTTGGTACTTATAGGTGGTTCTGGGAGTGAAGTTACTCTGCCTCTCCTGTTGTAGCTTTGTGAAGACCCAGGGAGATATTGGGCAGAGGAGAATTTAAATGTGGGAGGCAGATTCAGATCACAGTTTTGGATTCCTCCCATGCTAATGTGGGAGGTCTTTAAAAAATCAGCTCTGGGCCTCAGATTTTAGGTTAGAAGCCCAAAATTTCAGGATTACTCAGATCCAGACTTTGGGGACAAAGCTGATTTGAATGAAAGGCCAAAATTTATGTTTTGCAGCTGTCCTGTGAATGTTAATTAGTTTCATATGTTAGATTTATGAGATAGTATACTGACTCGTGAGTTAAAATGAACACAGCCTCTTTCATAAAACATAAACATTACCAGCTGCAGGAAACACATCTCTCTCCACAGGGAATTGTTTACTAACCCCTACTGACTTCTGCCTAAGCAGGGACAAATACATGTCTATCTTAATGGCCTGGTCATGGATGGAGGAATCCCATAGGAAAGTGTTTTCACACTGCAAATTCCCTGTGAAAATGCTGTATTTGCACACAGAGCTCCTCTGAAATAAAGGAAGAATATCATAATTAATAACCATATCATCTTAATTTACAGATGATCTACATCAGTAGAAATCCAAAAGATACTGCAGTTTCCATGTATCATTACTACAGAGATAATCCAAACCTTCCCACTATTGACACCTGGACTGCTTTCTTTGACCTGTTCTTAAAAGGAGATGGTAAGAATAAATGTTATGTTTTCTCCTTGCAGTTTACGTTAGCTTATTATGCACAGAAAGAGTTAAGAAATGTGAATTGTGTGAAAACTCATTGCATTCCTTATTCATATGGGTTTGGTTGAGGTTTTTTTTCAGGATAAATTCTAATGCCAAACTAAACAAGAGGAAATAATAGGATGCTGTCTTCAGCCCTGCAAGGAGACGTTTTGATAAGTGGCTGCATTATTTCAGCACAGCAGCTCTTTGTAGGTTTTTGCTGTTCTTTGACGTAGCTGTTAAGAAACTCTCAGACAAGTTACTGATTTCGTTTCTTCCCACAAAGGCTCTGAAACCCCTGACAATTTGTTGATTCTGACGCAGATTTTCCTGTGTTAAAACATTCCAGTCCTTATCTTGCGAACCACAATAGCAGACCGCTTCCCACCAAGAACTCACGTTTAAACTTTGATAGAGGAGGTATGCGCGCACAGCTCCTCCCAAGTAGACGTAAGGGCAGCTGGGCTCACCGCAGCCACTCCTGTCCTTGGCGAGCAGGTTGGTGGGGCAGGCGCTCCCTTTGAAGGTGCTCAGCCAGCTCTATGGGCCTCACTGCCAGGATGAGTTGCAGGCAATGGGGCACATGGGGACACCACCCCCAGGCTGCACTGAGAGCTATGCTTGCAGGCATAGTGCCTTCGTCCATCTTTAAAAACAGCCTTGGGTGGCTCTTCAGAGGGAGTCTAGATGCTTTCATAAAGCCCTCCTGCACACGCTCTGCCTGGTATGTTGTCTTAGTAGCGGGGTCCAAAGACCAAGGACAAGAGTGAGGTTTTTATGAGTGGCAGTTGTGTCATGGAGGTTGACTGCTTCCATGGGAACGGGACACTTCCAATTATCCACTCCCATTTTTAGTGCTTTATTACTCTTTTGAGCACATGTGTTCCTGCTATACAACCGTGAGTGATGATAACAGCAACAATGATAAATCAGCTTGAAAACTTTGAAAGAAAAGTGCCATTGCAGTCATCATGGGCTTACATCAAAGATCCAGAAGTCAATTTGTCTACTGGCTTGTGTCAGCTTTGCTGCAGGTCTCGTGTTCCTAGCTCACAGCAGCCCTAAGGCATGTGCTTCAGTGATTTGCAGGATCTTGGCTTGTTTAGCATCAACTTCTGAACATACAATAGTGAAAAAAGGAAAAGAGGGTTACATTAAATTTTAAAAGCATCTCCCATTTATCTGTAAATTAGTTGCCACCTTCTATTTTGTGTGTGCTTTTGCATGGCACAAAAAGATAACTATGATGTTGGTTACAACAGAAAGTTATTTAAGAAGTGATGCTGAGAGAGTTTGTAATTTTTGTTCCTAATAGAAACACATAGAAGGCTGTGCTGCTTGACTCAGATCCTGTAGTATGCTTGCAGAGTTAATCTCAGTTCAGAACAAGCGTGAGGACACAGAGAGACAACTGTGAGCTGTCCCTGGAAGCTCCGAGACTGTATGCTGCACCTCTGAAGCCAACAGGGCTTTCTATGCTATCGCTGGCCACATCCCCAGTGTGGCTGACCAGGAGAGCAGGGTTTAATTGCACACTGCGGAGCACACATACCTGGCAGTTAGACAGTGCTTTATGTGCGGGAGGCGGCTATACTGGACCATTCAGCAAAATATTTAATTTACATCTCAAGGTCTGCAACCAAAATGATGCCCATTACAATATTATACTTTTCTTGTAGCGGTTACAAAGCAAAGTCACAGTTCTGGAGAACGCTGGCTGTGATTGCTCTATCCAAGCCTCTTCTCATCACCCTATGGGAGTCTTTCAACTCATCTTTCAATGCATCTTGTCCTTCAACCGGAAGGGTCAGAATTTTGTTTTTTAAAAGAAAGCTGAAATTTAGGTCTCCTCCCATGGTTCAGCAAAAGGAACATTCAAGACAAAACAAGTACTATGAGTCAACTATAAAACCATAAGTTATCCATGTCATTGCCCAAATGATATATTTGCATAATAACTTGTTTACATCAGTCTTCTTTGACTTTTAAAAATAATACAGATTTCTCCTCTGCTGGGAAAAAATGCAGCTAACAGTAGTGTGTTCCATTTAACAGACTGCTTATTTAATTTCCTAGTGAAGTGGTCATATTTCTAGCTGTGACCACAGAGATGCAGACATTTGCTGAGACGCTCGGATCTTGTTAGGCCAGTACATTTTCCTTCATTACTGGCCTTTCCTTAGCTTTGGAGCCTGTTTCTACTACAGAATTATATCTCAGAATAGTATCTGCATCTCTGATACAAAATGAAACTTCAACAAGAATGGTAACTCCTTTGGATTGTAAATTTGAGTCACTTCACAAAAAGAATTTAATCCGGTTTAGAGGAATAGAGGGTACACACTAAGAAGGAAGGGATCATTCCCCTAAATGTGCAAGCTGCAGAGTTATTTATGAATAAAGTTTTTATTAATCTCTTTTACACGGGTTTTCTTTTCAGTTGTCTGTGGATCTTGGTTTGATCATTTCCTAAGTTGGGAAGAACATGAAAATGACAAAAACATCCTGTTTTTGTTCTATGAAGACATGAAGAAGGTAAATATGCTCTTTACTCTTATTTCAGAATGCATTACTTGTAAATTAACAACATTAAAGCATCAAAGGGTGAATTATAATGAAAAAGGAGAAAGAAGAAAAATGTGAATATGTGTCTTCGGGCATATTTTATATTTGCATAGATCTTTATATTAGTGAACACTGATTAATTCTGGCTGCACAAGTTACATAAATATCAAATCCTCTGAGAGTTGCATTTCATAGATCTAGGAGTGGGATACGTATTTTCCCCAAGCTACAGGAAGAATTTTAAGCTCCTCATTTTTGGTCCTATGGAAAGACCAGCCAAGGACATCTGTTGAGGGCCACACATTAACCTGCTATGTCTGTCATTTCAGGTGAAATTTTCAAAAAGTTATGTAAGACAACAGAACTACTCATGGCCAGTGGGAGTTGCGCTCCCAATAACCAAGCAAATTAGAGGCTGGAGGGTGTAAGAAAAAAGTTTTGATGAAAGGAAATTATTATGCAGAAACTGTTCTTAACATGCTTCGCTGTTCTTAAAGAAAAAGTCAAATAGCAACATACCTTAGCTTTCAGAGAATGAATTTTTGGGTGAAGAGAAAACACTTCCTAGTGTTTCCATTAAAATAGTTTTGTTCATTTTTCAGAAAAAAAATCCACTACAAGGAATATAAACAAGACATTTTGGATCCTGAGTCACTTTTTGGATCTCTAGCTATAGCACCTCCAGTGAAACAAGCTACTTACACAGAAGCTGAGTTTTGAGTGTTTCTCTATTCCCAGTGAAATAATTCTGAGAGACAGGAGGACACTTTGCCTGAACTGGGAGTAAAATTGCAATGTAACTGTATTTGATATCACATACTCAGCATTTACTCATTTCTGTGAGTATGGGTAGGAGGGGAGTCAGGTTTACTGTACCTGTCATCTACACATCTACGTGTTTAGCTTTGCTTGAAAGCAAATAAATGTGTGATAAACTCGGTGTGAGATAAAAAGGATCATTTTCGTATCAACTAATAATCAGCTCAGAATCATGAAAGCTTTATTTTTCTTGTACCTCAGGATCTCCCTAAGATTGTAAAGGAAATCAGTCTGTTCCTGGGTTTAAACGTCAGTGATAACGATGTCCAAGACATCTGCAAGAAGTCCTCATTCTCAGAGATGAAAAGCGACACAGAAAAGGAAAACAGCGATCCCAGCCACACCGTTTGTGCGCTGACGTCCAACAGGAAGCTGATTTTCCGAAAAGGTAAACTGGGCTTAACAGAGCAGAAAGAGTGGGAAACCAGCCAGAGGCTGCAGTCCAAGTCTTTCCCGGACGGTAGTAATGTTTTGGGTCAGCCACAGGAAGCAGTGACAGGATTCTTCAATTTGAACCCATCTTAAAACCGCTTTCTTTCCAAGTTCTCTGGTTCCAAATGCAGGCTTATACTAGAGAAGCACGGAGGAGTCTGAACAACAGTCTGACTACTATTGCTTCATGTGAGCTTTTCAGCTAAAAGGAAAGGTTCACAAAGCATTACTCTTTATCTTTTTTTACCTAAAAGCTGATCACTTCATTCTTTTACACCACGTCCCCTCTGATATCACCTGCGAAGGTCACTTAGTTTACTACAATGAGAAAGAGCGAGACGCATTCCTTGAGAAGGAGACTGCTCGTAGCCTTTATCCTCCATCCCGCCTATTATCTTTATTGAAATGTTCCTAAAAAGGAATATGCTGACAATGACAACAAGGAAAGAATGGATGACTCAGTCACCTCAGGGCCTCACAGGTAGCCTCAGACCTTGGCCAAGCTGGAATCCGCGGTGAAATCTTCAACATCATGCTTAGCTCAGTTGTGATTTAAAAATACCTGCGGAAGCTGTTTTCTTGCTACTGAAGTTTCAGAAGCTTGCTCAGATTTGGATAAGAAGTCAATCAAAACCATCATCTTTAGACAGATTTTGATTATTTTTAATTAGTTAATTTTTGAACAATAACTGACAGTTTAAAACTAAGAGTTGTTTCAATTAAGAAAAACTTGTTTTCATTTATAAATAGGGAAACGGTACATTTTGCTAATTCAGAAGGTTTTTACCAATGAGCTGAAGCAAATGCCAAAATACAATCTGTCAGTAAAAAGCAAACAAACAAAAAGCTCAGGTACATTTTTCTAAGTCAGTGAACTTTAACAAGGCTATGCTGAAAAATTTGAAAAACCCCAACAGTTTCACTTCCAAGTAGTTCCTCTGCAAATCCCAGTGTTTCAGCCAGTTTACAGAAGTTTTATACATATATATATATAATTCTTCTGGCTCTCTTTTCTTGTCTTTGCTGTCCAGAATGCTGTTTTAGTCAGCAGTTTTGGAATGCAGGGTCTTTCAAGGATGCACATGAGGGAAAACTGTGAGCATTGTCTCATTAAAATGCATCAGTTAAAAAAACAACTTCCCATTTGCTCAAACTGGATAACAGTTGAAACACTTCACTGAATATGAGTGTGCATGGTCACCCAGAAGTAGTTAACTGCCCACGTTAAGTAGTGGGACATCTCATCCGTAGAAAGCCCTAGAGATGAGGAGCAGGTGTGAGGGTGGGATTCATCTATCAGGTCACTCTGGGCTCCTTTTTTAGGAATCTTCTTTAGTCAATGGAGCTATACGGCTGCTTTTGGGGCACCATTCATTTGCTGAGTTTTAGATGTTGGCTGGGATGAGATGGGTGTCAGCCAGGAAGTAACCTGGAAGTAACCATTTCCCTCTACTGACTGTGAAAGAGCCCAGCAGGCCTTTAGCTGCGCACATCTAAGGTGCGACAAGATGCCTCCCTGCTGAGATGGCCAAGAGCTATAATTCCATCTAGGAAACCTGCTGCTCTTCATGTACCACTTAGTGTGTTGGCACTAACCAAGTCTGAGGCTGAGGGTTTAACAGCCTTTATGGATGATGATCCAGCTGCTTCCATTGCAGTTTCACCTGATCAATAAAACAATTACTCATGATCTTGACCTCCTGCAAAAACTATGGTTAATAATATATTAATAATCTGTGCCAACCGGAACATTAACAAAACCGGGCTGCCTTTAGATCATTTTCTGCACTATATGTTGCTAGCCTCACTGTTATTTTTCTGCTCCTGCTCTCCTAGGTGCTGTTGGTGATTGGAAGAACCATTTCACTCCAAAGCAGAACCGGAGGTTTGAGGAGATATTTAATGAGAAAATGAAACTCAGCAAAATGGCAAAAAGTCTCACCTATGAATTTTGACTCTGTGTGAAGAACAATACTCAGTTATCAACAAACACAGATAGAGCAATTGGTGGGAAATTCTGAACGGGGGCTCCCATTCAGTTTATAATTACAATAGAAAAGATTGTAAACATGAGATTTTGAGGACAGGAAAATTCTGACACAATGCCAGAGCCGAACTGTTTTCTGTGGGCAGATGTATATAGTTTTACAGAGTCGGGTGTCAAGACCCATTTTTTCTACAACCATATATACTTTATAATTTATTTATTTTTTGCTGTAGAGGGATACGAATGGACTTCTTAGATCTGATTTCAGAATTTTACCTAAGATGTTAAGAAAAAAACCAAAATAACCAAAGCCATAAGAATCTGAATATATACAAAGTCTAAAAACACATCGTAAGAAAATGACCAAAGATTTGACCCCACACTCCCTCCCTCCATGATCTACCATGATTTGCAAAGCGTCTATCTTATCGGACTTTGTTATCAATACTGACATTGAAAACTGCAGCTGTACATTTGAAGATCTGGAATTAAGTTTGTTTATAAAATGTCTTTGTTGTTGTTACAATATGTAGTTCTTTGCTATAACTTATTTTTGGGTTAGGTGTTGTAGAGTGTGTGTGTTTTAAATGCAACTGATGGAAATCCATGTAAATTTCTGCACCATATGTTGGAGAATTATAAACATTTTTTTTTCTATTTGACTTTCTTCCTGCAAACTGCTTGTTTCCGGTGTTTTGATGAGAACCATTTTACTTCACAGTCCTTGTGCAATAGAATTCAACAGTTCGACTGTGGCAAACAAACCGCTACTCAGAGACAGCTTAATCTGAACACAACTTATTTATTTACCCTGCCCTGATAAGACAGATTTTTGAAGAATCAGCTGTCTGTGTTCACACCCAAGGGACCGTTCTAGGAACCCAGTGAAGACTTTTCTTCTGATTTAGTCCATGAAGTGTTTTCTGTCCTCACCTTCAATTTGCTTTGCAGGCTGGCTTTAAGGACTCTTCTCCCCAAACTAGTTCTCCCCAACCATATAATTCCAAGGCATCAGCAGGCAGAAAAAAACAGAGGAAATGCTGATCAAAAAAAATCTCATGCAGACAAGCACAATTACTCTGCTTTGACTCCTGTGTACTCTGAAGGTACATGCCTGTAAAGCAAGTTCATCCTCTGGGTGTGTTTTTTCTGAAAAGCTGGGGCCTTATTTACAGTGAACACTAATGCTCTCTCTAGCCACACATTCCACACTTGCCACGCAGCCCTTTCACCTCACACCTTGCTTGTGCAAGCTGGCATCAGTACCTACTGATTTTGCACCTGCACAAATGATACAGAAGTTATACACTGAGAGAAAAGCCTGTTCGATAGCAGTCCCTTGCCAATTACCAACTCAACACTATTTAAGGGAGATGCTGCCCTGAGCACTGTTTTATGCAAATGACCCGTTTGGAAACCAGAATTTTGTGTTGCTTTGCTCTTCTGACACTAAAATCACACTCTCTCCCTCTAAAATGTCACAAACCACTGTTGTCCTCCTTTCAGGTATCATTCTTCCACTATTAATAAACAGCAAAAGATCAGCTAATGATGACGCTTGAACACTTTACTTACACTTTTTTCTAGCCCTTTGAGTATGGAAAAAATCCAAAGGGTTCTTGGACAAACAAAGTTTGCAAATGAGTTTATTAACTGCTGTAAGCAGCATTTATATGTATATTCACAATATGAAACTGTGTGTGAAGGGATAGGGTGGGGACATGCCACGTGGATCAGTGAGGGGGTTAAAGCACACAGTCCTGAACCGGCTGAAGGGATAGTATTAGAATATAAGGCAGTGAGTGTTTTGCCGGCTGCCTGACCTCTAGCACCGCATTGCAGAGTCAAATGGACTTTCAAAATAACATTCCTCTCTGTAACACTTGGTACTCACACAGAACTTGTAATCTTCAAACATAGTTTTACTCAAGCTTTATGCAATGCAGCCACACCTGAGGTAGAGTGCAGCAACTGGTTGGCAGTGAGTAATAGCTGAGAAAGAGAACAGCTTCTGCTAGTAAAACTATGGGGTAGCAGGTCCATCCTAGGCAGTGGCACAGCCCAGCACAGATGTGGACAGTGTAGCAAAACTGGCCTATGTCAGAGGTCCAGAACGCTAGGCTGGGCACTGTTCCTAAAGAATAGGGGTATGTGATTGTAGCTACTGGCAACCAGGGTCTCCCAGCAGTTGCTACACCTACCCTTTCTTTCATCCTCTTCTCTCTTGCTCTTCCCACTCTGCTCCTACCACCCCTCCCCTTCCTATGGCTGTAGCATCCCCCACCAAGAGGGTTTCAAACTGAATTTTTCAAAGAATTGTCAATCTGGCTCCACAAGTCTTTTTGCAGGTCATGGAGATGTTCCAAAATTTTCAAAACTTCCATAGTAAGATGTTGTAAAAATGTCTCTTCCCCTGTCTGCTTTTATTTCTTTTTTTCTATGACAATTAAAACTTTTGAGAGAGAGGCATTTCAGCCCTACAAGATATGAAAATACTGGTCCAAAATGTACCTAGACCACAGCAATACTAGGTGTAGAAGAAACAAAGCCCCATGCAATCTCTATTACATGTAAATGGTTACAATATTGCTTTCCTATTTGAGTAATATATTCCACCTTCCAGAGTAAGGGTTCTTCTCAAGATTGATTTAATTAGGTAGGACAGCATTAAACATTCATGCCATCAGAACTGAGACATAAGGCTTCTACCTGCTCTTGTTGAAGTTAGACGGTTTTGCTTGCTACCCAGGCTTATCTGGCCTTTGGGTCAGATGAAAAAGAGAGCAAGAGTATCTGAACGGCTAGAACTCTTGTGAGAGGAACCTGTGAATTCTGGGCCTTGCTTCAAGAACTTTTTTCCCTGAAAACATCAAATAATTATCGTCTAAAGTAGCTCTCAGAGAAGAAAAGGTGCTCAGGTAAACATCCCAGCCACCTGACTTTAAGTCACATTAGTTCTGAATCAATGAGCTTGATGCCTAAAGCAGTTTCCTGGAGGAAAACAATGACTGGTGAAAAAAAAATCTCTCAGAATATCTTCATCTTGTAGAAGAGGCAAGTGAGTCTGGAGAAGTGAGGGTGGGAAGGCCAGGCAGGGGAAGGGACGTAAGCCAGTTCTAGTAATCTTTGAAGCCAGAAGTCACAGGAAAATAGAGAAGACTCAGGGTAGGAGATCAATTGGTGGGTTTCTGCACTGGGGCTAGGTAGAGCAGAGATGCTCAGGGGATCAAGACAAGGGTTTACTTGAAACCATCAGTCAGCTGGAAAAGTAAACATTGAAGACCAGGAGGAATTTCCATGGGGCTTGCTTCATGACCAGCTGATGAGAGAGGTCACACAGTCACACCCCACAGACAAAGAGCGAAGCGCACTCCTGCTGCGAAGACCCAGTGGGGATGGGACAGGAGGAATCAAGTTTGACAGAAAGGGCTGAGTGTGGAAATGAAGAAGCTTGCTGAAAGACCATGTTCAGAAAGGGGGAAAAGGACTGACTGACCATATCCCTCTTTCCCCAGTTCCAGCCTCACAGGTGACCACAATCCACTTTCATTCAAGGGAGCAGCAACCATGAGAGATGATTCTGCAGCAACATGCTTTACTAACTTTGACAGGAGACAGTCCTCCCCTCTCCCCGAATCTCTTTACCTGTCCTGCAATACCGCAGAGGACAAACGTCGGAAAGGACAAAGGCAGTGGGTGCGCATGGTGAGACACTGCCCTTCCTGGCCTCCCGAGGAAGACACTTCTTGGCCAAGCAGAGAGGAGCAGCGGCACCTCGCGGCCCCAACCGGGAGGTAGCAGGAGCAACCAACAGCTGCTCAAGCGAAAAACCCAGCGACAGAAAAGCATGAAGTCACAAACTACATTGCCATGCCTCCTTTCGGCCTCTTTCCAACCTGGTCCTGCAGGCCAACGCTAACTGGAGAAAGAGCTGTCGTGGAAACGACCACAACCCCATGGCACCACACTCTGGCGTGGGCTCTGCAGCCATCTAGCAAGCTTTCTACCAATAAAAAGGGAAGCAGTGCTGCCTCCAAAAGGAACAGAAATGTTTGTTCTTCACTGACATCTATTGACTGCAGTGTTTTAATTGCAAAGCTCTGCACAAGAATTAGGCATTGATTTTTGCAGGATGCTGCAGGGCTCACAAGCAGCAGCAGACTCGGAAAAGAATCACACGTTTGAGGGGAGCAGGTCCATCTCTGGGACAGTCCTGATGCACAGCCTGCTTAAGAAGTCCTTCATTTCTGACTGCCAGCATCTGCAAGGATGTACCTAGGAATGATCAGTCTGCACCACTGAGAATCTACTAGCAGCCACAACAGAGACAGGATGATGGGATGGAGGATGGCATTCACATGTAAGTAAATATTAATGCTTAGGAGTAATAAAACTGGATTTCCCTTCTCTGCCAAGGCCTTGCACTAAAACAAAAGATAACTGGGATGTGTTGTTCTCTGTCATTTGTGACCTTGGTAAACTAGACCTAATACAACAGCCAGGTAGGTATCACTGTACTGCTCCAACGGCAGTTAGTTGCCTAGCTACATAAGAAAGATGAGGAATTAATCAGTCTGCAGCATTGCCTACTGGCTAAATTAAGGATTTACCTACATTACAATAAAAAACAAAAAAAAATAAGCACAGCAGGATGTCATAGGCAGGAGAATGAAGTACAATATAAAGCTAGCTTATATCTTATATCTCTCTGCTATCCAAGCTCAGACACCAATGACAGCAGCTTAATTGAAGCAGCCCAGACTTTAGTTCCTCTGCTTCTTGGCGGGGACATCAGTAAGCTACAGCACAGATCCACTGCAAAGCACAGATCCAGTTAGCTTGTTCTTTACATTGCCATGCACTGCCTGCAACTTCAGCCTGGGAACCCCTGAAATCTCTTGGCTTTCATTATAAATCAAAGGTGTGCTCTCTTTAAACAAAGAAACAAGAAACCTGGGGAGCCTCACT